GTTTCGCCTACTCGCAAAACTCCGATGGCGCGAATGAGTCGATTGATGCGGGTGATGTGATGATGAGAAGGACATGACTTCGCCATCATGACAACGCGCGGCGCCGTGGAACGAAAAGGGACCAAAGGGAACCAAAGGGAACCAAAAGGGAACTAAAAGGGAAACGAAAGCAAACGCCAAAGGGTACCGCGGAACCTCCCATGAATGGCTATTGGACTGCACGGGGGAATAGGCAAGAATAGTCCAAGAATCGTCTGGGGGCTATGTTTTTGCTCGGGTATTCTTGACCATGTTGGATTTTTTTCTTCGCATTTGTTATGTATCGTCGAACATCCCCCCTGTAGGGGGACACGCCCGACTTGAGCCCAGGGGCACCCGAAAGGCGCGCGGTGGCCGTGCCGCGCGGTGGGCCGAGGTGGGTCGCCCTCCGGGGACGTCTCGGGCGACGAGGGGCCTCCCCGAGGCCCCCCCGGGCCGCGCGGTGACGGGGAGGGCGCGGTGAGGCTAGGGGAACAAAATATGACTTGGATATAAAGATTCGGAGGTCCGCGCGGATTTCACGGATAGGCGCTGGGGCCCCCCAGCGGCGCCTCTGGCGCCGCCCTTGGCGCGTTCCGCGCGCCTTTATGTTCATGCCACTTTTTGTGTTCCCCTAGAGGTGTCGTTGGGGGTATTCCGAGGTCGCCACGCGGCCCGTCGCCGCACGGTCCTCGGGGCCCCGAGAGGGGCAGCCGCCTCTCTCGGGCGGGCGGTGGGGAGAGAGCTAAGCGAGCGACGCAATCAAACGGGGATCGCATGCTCCTCCTCCTCCTCCGCCTCCTCCTCATCCTCCTTTTCCTCCTCCTCCGCCTCCTCATCCTCCTCGTCCTCCTGAGGAGGAGGAACGCTAAGCGGGATCGTCTGCGCCGACACTGGCGCGCACGCTGCCCGCGTAGGCCGCCGCAGAAGGTCGCGCGCAATCTCGCGAGTAAGACCCATGTTTGATCGTCGCCCACATGGGGGGGTGAAGGAAAGGGCCCGAAAAAGGGGACCTATACGACCCCTCTTGGGTTCCTACTGTTAAGTCGGGCGTGTCCCCTTGCAGGGGGATTTTGGGCGAAAAATTAAAAGTACCAACAAATGCACAAACATCCAGTACGTCTGCTACCACCACGTCAATGGTGCGTAGGCGGTACCGACGTCGTGTCGTAAAAACACCAAAATTGTCAAAACATATTCAGACAATAGTCACCAGAAAAGGGGACCTTTACGACCCCTCTTTGGTTGATGCTGGCTCCACAGAGGGCCCCAGAGGACTTCATCCTACAGTGCCGTGTTTAATGCATGCTCCGCGTGCGGATCATGTATTACAGATGCAGGGATTTATAATTAAAAACAGCGATGAGTTCATGCACTCATTTATTCGTACATTAATCATGAATTAGAATCCCATATTAACAAAAAAACACCCATGTATTAAAAACTGCCCTGTAATGGGAGAATCGCCCATGTGGGCGAGCGTTGTGGCAAGAGCTCTGCCAAGCTATCCGACCACGTGTTCCCCCAATCGTTGTGTAAATCCTTCGGGGAACATTCGGGGGAGGATGGCGGGGACGATCAAGAGGAGGCGGAGGAGCAGGAGGAGGTGGAGGTGGAGAGGAGGAGGAGGAGGAGGAGGAGGAGGAGGAGGAGGAGGAGCCATCGTGCCATTCCCAAACCGCTCGCGCCCGCCGCGGTCCCTGGAGCACATGGCGCCTGGGCTGCGGGAGCGCCAGAACGCGCTGGCTGCCGCGCGCGGCGCGGCGCTGGCGACGCACGCGGCCACGGGCCTCGCGCGGGGCGCAGCAGCGGCTTGCCGCCTGCTGCGCACCGCCGAGGGCTTGTGCCGCGCGGCCGTGGCGGAGCTGGAGGCGTCCAAGCCTCGCCAGCCTGCCGCGGAGGCCGCTGGGGGTGCTGCGGAGCCGCCTGCGGCTCCCGCGGCGCCCGCGGCGTCTGCTCGGCCTGGAGGCGGCGCTGACCCCGCGGTGCGGGCTGCGCGGCGGCGCCGCCGCCGTCAGCGCCGCGCTGCGCGGCGCGCGGCCGCCAGGGCGAATGCTGTCCCGTCGGAGGACGCGGCGCCCCCCGCTGCGGCGGCGGTCGGTGCCGCGGCGGCCGCTGGGGCTGCCGGCGCGGGCCGCGGGCTCGAGCTGGTAGCCGTGGCGGCCTCGGCCGCCTCCGACGACGCGATGGACGACGAGTGGGCCGATGGTCTCGTTCGTGCGGCCCCCGCGGAGCCCGCGCCGTCCGCTGCTGGTGCGGCGAGCGCGTCGGGCGGAGCGGAGGCCACCGCTGGCGCTTCTGGTTTGGCGGCTGGTGCTGCTGCGGTCGTGGAGGCCGACGCGGAGGGGCGGGCTCGTGCGGCGCTGCGCGGCGCGTGGCTCGCTCGGGGCTTCCGTGCGGCCGACTTCGACTGCTACGCCCACAAGCCGCTGGACTGGCTCCGCGAGTACTCCGAGGGGTACGGCGACGCGGAGGAGGGCACCTTTCAGGTGGTCAACGCCGGCGGCAGGCGATCTCGGGGCGCTGGGCGCAGCTCCAGCGCAGGGAGGGGATCGCGTGGGAGACGGTGAGGGCCCAGCCGTCTTGCGCGCTGGCCCGCCGTCCCCCCCCCCTCCCTGCACATCGCGGTGCACTTCGGCGGGTGGGCCGTCGTGCACGAGTGAAGTACGTCGACTGCGGCTTCTTCACGGTCGGGGGGTCCAGGCACCTCAGGTGGTGTTCTGGCCCCCCGCGGCTCGAGTCGGCGATTAGGATCGAACCTCTTCGCAATGTCGAGTCTAGGAGGAGGAGGAGGAGGAGGAGGCAGGAGGAGGAGGAGGAGGAGGAGAGGAGGGAGGGGGAGGAGGAGGAGGAGGAGGAGGAGGAGGAGGAGGAGGAGGAGGAGGAGGAGGAGGGAGGAGGAGGAGGAGGAGGAGGGAGGGGGAGGACACTTCGGGGGCCTCCTGGGAGCTTCCCGGGCGCCTCTTGGAGGCCTCTTGGGGGCTTTCCGGGGGCCTCTTTGGCAGTTTGGGTGGGCTTCTGGCCAGTCTGACGCCGTCGGACGCCGTCTTGGGGGCCGCTCTGGGCCGACTTGTGGCCCCCTTGGTCTGCTCCACGGCCGTCTTGGAGGCCATCTTGGGGCTGTCTTGGAGGCCTCTTGGGCAGTCTTGGTGCCCTCTTGGGGTCGTCTGGGGGGCGGCCTCTTGGGCCGTTTTGGAGGCCTCTTGGGCGCTCTGGGGGCGATCTTTGGAGGCTCTTGGGTTGTCTCGGGCAGTTGGAAGGCAGAAAAGAAGCACATGCCCGAATCCTTCAAAAGCCTAAGGGCAATGAATGATGTTGGTCTCTTCGGGCCTTCCTGGAGGCCCTCTTGGGGGCCTCTTGGCCCGTCCCAGGCCATCTTAGAGTCATCTTCGGCCGTCTTGGTGGGCTCCTGGCCCGTCTGACGCAGTCGGAAGCCGTTTTAGGGGCCTCACTAGGCCGACTTGGGGCCCTCTAGGGGTGCTCAAGGCCGTCTTGGAGGCCTCCTTGGGCGTCCTAGATGCCTCTTGGGGCCGTATTGGGGGCCTCTTGGGGCCGTCCTGAGGCCATCTTGGCCAGTCCTGAGGCCATCAAAGGGGCCTCTTGGGCGCTCTGGGGGCGATCTTGGGGGCCTTTGGGGCCGTCCCAGGCCGTTGGAAGGCCGAAAAGGAGCAAATACGAGACTCCCTCAAAAACCTGAGGAAACTATATACTTATGAGTTTAGCCACTTTGGGCCCTCCTGGAGGACATCTCGGAGGCATCTTTGGCCGTCTTGGAGGCCTCTTGGGCGCCTCTTGGACAGTCTTGGACTGTCTTGGAGGCTTCTTGCGCGGCCTTGGAAGAATCTTGGACCCTCTGGGGCCGTCTTGGAGGCCATCTTGGAGGCATTTTGGAGGCCATATTGGGCCATCTTGGCGGTCTTGTTGAGATCATGAGCCGCTTTGGAGGATTTGATCTGGACGTTGAGGTCGTTTGCACGCCTTTGCGGTCCTTTCCGGGTGGCCGGCGGGCTGGGCCAGAGCCCCAGGGGAGAGTTGTTTTGAAATGGAAGAAGAAGAAGAAGAAGAAGAAGAATAAGAAAACAAAACAACAAAAAACCTACAAAAAAACAAAAGGGTCCAGCACGCCAGGCACCCCTGTGGCAAGCCAACAGGGGGCAGCGCATCTAATGGCCTTCGGCCCAGCCCGCCACCGTGCCTGGGTTGTGGGTCATAGGGTTCCAGGATGTTCGTTGGGACGTCGCGGGGGGCCTCTCGCAGGTGTCTTGGGAGCCGTTTGGAGGCCCCTTTTGGAGCCGTTTTGGGGCCTCTCGGAGCTTTCTAAGGGCCTCCTTGGGGGCCCCCACAGGTGTAGGGCAGTTTTGCTATCTGTTGTTCCTCGAGGAAGGCGAGGAGCAGGGAGGGGGCCCCAATGGGCAGCGTCAGCTCGAGGCTCGAGAGGTGCTCCTGCTGTTTCGTCGGCTCTCGGCGGCCTGCCGGCCTCGGGGTGCTCTCTCCAGCAGCTGCGCTTCGCCGAGGCGCGCCGGGGGGGAGCCCGGAGCATGCCGAACGGCCGCCGGAGACCCGAGCTATGAACCGAAGACCACGGGGCCACGCTAGAGTGCCGTTTTTTTAATGCATGCTCCGCGTGCGGATCATGTATGATAAAAATGCAGGGTTTAGTATTAAAAACAACGATGAGTTCATGCATACATTTAGTCATACATTGATCATGTATTAAACATCCGATGTGTTTAGAAATCCTATGTATTAAAAACTGCCCTGTAGGGGGGGATAGGCTCAGGGGGCGAACGCATCGACCTCCAATCACCCTCTCCTCGCCGATAAGGGGTCCGACGGCCCCACCCTGCTCAGGAGCGTGCGGGCTCGCAGTCGCGGGCCCATGTATATCGGGATGTCGGCTCGATGTTCCCCCTCGCCTGAAACAGCGGCGGCGAGGAAGAGCCAGCTCCAGCAGAGGCCCCCCCGCGGCGGCCGCGGCGCAGGCCACGCAGCAGTGGAAGCTGGAGGGCGAGACCGAGCAGGACCGGCTGGAGGCGGGCCGCGGCGCGCCCGGGCAGGGGGGGGGGGGCGCCGAGAGGGGCCCGGTATGCCGCCCCACCCCTGCCAACCCTGCCCGAGGCATGCTGAAGGGGCCCTGGGACACACAAATAAATACACACTAATAAAAAGATTCCCCATACTTCCCCATATTTTCTGCGGAATCGAAGATTAATTGTGTCTGTGTGTTTTTTTCCCTCCTGGCATGCGCGCGGGAAAAGCAGGCGCAATGAAACAGGGGGAAAACAGGGGGAAAAGTAGGAAAACGATGGAAAAAAAGAGAGGCGCGCGCGACGTCGACGACGGCGAACGAACGACGGTGTCGCTCGCCCGCGCGCGCCCCGCTCGAACCAGCCCCAACCCCCCCCCATTTCCGCGCCCCGCGCTGACAGGAACCGGACCGGTGCCGGTCTTCGTGCCCAGTCTGCCCTCCCCAAAGGCGATCGCGCCGACCCCCGGCGGAAGGGCGGCAGGATCGGCAGGGTCGGCAGGATCGGCGGCGATACCCCCAGGAGGGCGCCCAAGAAGGGGGGGGGGCCACCACTGTCGCACTGTCCCCACTGTTCCCACCACTGTTCCCACCACGGTTCCACTCTCCCCACTGTCTCCACTCTCCCCACTGTCTCCACGGACCCAACCACTGCCTATCCCCACTGTCCCCACTGTCCCACTGACTCCTCCGCTGTCCCACTGAGCTGTCCCACTGCCCACCACTGTCCCCACTGTCCCCACCACTGTCCCCACTGTACCTCTGTCCCATTGTCCCACCGCCGTCCTCGCCACCGCCTTTACCACTGTCCCCACCACCATTGTACCCTCCACTGTCCCAGTGTTTCCACCTCATTCCCACTGTCCCCACACCACTGTCCCCACCACCACCGTTCCCACCACTGTCCACTGTCCCCCCTGTTCCCACCATTGTCCCCACCACTGTCCCCACCACTACCGTCCCCACCACTGTCCCACTGTCCCCCCGCTGTCCCCACCACTGTCCCGCTGTCCCCTCACCACTGTCCCCACCAACACCGTCCCCACCACTGTCCGCACCCCCACTCGGTTTTCGAGGGGGGGGGGGGGTCGAACCGGTAGTGACCCCCCCCCTTTTCATGATGAGCTGGGGGGGGGGGGGGGGGGTTCGAACGGTAGTGACCCCCCCGGTTTTCGGGGGGGGGGGGGGGAGGGGTTCGAACCGGTAGTAACCCCCCTCGGTTTTCCGCCAGCAGCGGTAGAACACGCTCTTTCCCATGTCGGAACTTTCCGAACGGGGCGCGGCCAAGGAAAGTGCCCAAGGATGGACCGAGGATGCAAGGATGCAAGGGTACCCTTGGGAAGGCTGCCCATCCTTACTATGCGGGTTGGCTGTAGGCAGAGCCGCCGCCAGCGATCAACGCTGGCGGTGGATTTTCTGACGACGGTGCTGGCTGCAGCTGGGCTTCAGCGACGGGAGAAGACGGCAGGCAACGGCAACATGGCGATACGTGGAGAGCTAGTAGTAATCACGTGCAGTCGTTGGCGATTATAACGACGGCGACAAAAGAGAGGATGGATGAGGAGGAAGACAAGGCGATGAGCTCATCCCTCTTGGCTACTCCTGGCTGCTTCTGTCCATCCTTCATTGCCCTTCTGAGGGGCAACGACTCATCGCTGATAGGGGCCCCATAGCCCACCCAGCCCAGGAGCGTGCGGATTAGCTATCGAGGGCCGATTGCACATATATCTGAGATGCATGACCGATTCCAGATCGGTGTCGTCCCCATGAGCTGGTCCGTTGGGCGATGGGGGGTCGATGCCTCCATCCCTGAGCCTATGTCCCCCGAGCGCTGCCCCTGATCATCGCCCATCCCCATTGCCCTTTAAACCCTGCCTCCCTCCCTCCTAAGAACATGACAAGTTCTCTCAGAACATACAGCCGGTGTTGAACCAAGGCGATCTCAGCCATACATGTTCTAATAACGTGCCGTACAAACCACGAACAGTTGTTTGAACATTCTTTGGTGGGTTTATAGCAAGGCAAGCCGAAACGCCTCACCACTGCTTGAGTGGCCGCCTCCCAAACAGGCCCGGCTGACCTCCCCACCGAAAGGAAAGCGTGGGCAAGCTCTTGCATGGAGCGAGGTCGGAGACATGAGGGAGGCACGCCACGTGGGGGACGGGAACAACGAGACTCGGGCGTGTGAAATGGGGGGGCATCGAATCAGCTCACGCAGCCAACTTCTCCAGCGCCTCCTGGCGCCGGAAGATCTGGCGGAACACACCTGGCGGCAGGGCCAGAACCAGTCGAGCGCACCAAATCTTGTGAAGCCCTCCTTGTCAAATCACCCTGGTCTGTCCGACCTGAAGGACAGCCTGGAAGGATGCGGTGAATGCGAAGTGTGACGAAAGTGTCTTCCAAGGGGGGACGCATCGAGCTGGAATCGGCGATACATCGCTGATAGATCGGCAACACGCCACCGATGGCGACTCTGCGTGGGCTATCGGGCCCCCATCGGCGATTGAGGGTCGATGCTCGCCCTTCTGAGCCTCTCCTCCCCAAGCCCCAGCCCACGAGGGGGGGCGGGGAGGGTCGCGAAGGAGGGGCGGGTCGGAGACGAACGGAACGGGAAGGGAAGAGAGGGAGGTGTCGCAGGCCGAGAGGTTGACACCAACACCAGGATCGGCGGTGTGCCTCCACCGAGGGAAGACGATCCCGATCTCGGTGATGGTGGCAATACTCTGGCTTCCAAGGTGACCTAAATATCACCAACGCCGACATCTAGGATCATCTTCCCCGTGTGGAGGCAACCCCCTGTTCTGGTCTTGGTGCCAATTTCCAGGCCTCCAGAGGTGGATCGTGGGACGGCTGGACGAAGGGAAGCAAGGCGAAGGCAAGATGATGAACACTTCGGGTGTGGCAGAATGGCTGAAATGCCTCCAGCAGACGGGCGGGCCTGGGGGACGCATCGGGCGCCGCGGCCGTTCCAGAGCGCGCCGGGAACGCTGCGGGAAAGCGCTGGAACGCTGGGTAAGGGTTTTCGACGAAAAATGGCACATACCCCCTAAAATGCCCACACATCGCAACAAAAATCATCAAAACATAGTCCCCTGACTATTTTCTGACTACTTTTGAATATTCCCCCCCTGTAAAAAAGGACAGGCCCGACTTACGGGTAAGGGGGGACTTGTTTTGGGAGGGGGCGGAATCCAGCGCGCTGTAACCATGGATTCGAGATCCACGGGTCCGGCACGTGGGCGCCAAGCCCGCGCATTGAGGAAGGCCGCCCTCGAACGGGGGCGCCAAGGCCGCCCGATGTGGCGATTGAGCGCGCCGATCTGGTCTAGAATCAGGGTGCGTCGTTAATCCACGCGCCTCGGTCCCCGAAGCGTTTTCGGTTAGCAACGCATGTCGCCCAACACCGACAGCGACCGTTGTTGGGCAAGCGGCCGCGTGTCTCAAAGTCGAAGCGCCCGCGCCGCCGCCGACCGCGGCCACGGTTCAATGGACAAGGAAGGCTGCCGGCCTTGGCGCCCGATCTTTTCGTGGTCGTTTCGAGCGCGCCGACCCGGACCGAAGGGTCAGGGACGACCGAGTTGGCGGGATCGTCGCCCAAGGGGGGGGGCTCGCAGATCGCGGCCCGACGCGCGCGCGCAGCCCGGGGGGGGGCGGGAGCGACGGGGCGCTTCTTCCTCGAACGCTGCTCCCAGGCCTCCCGTCGAGGACCGGCGCAGTCGAACGTCGGGGGCGCCCCAGAAGGGCGTGAGGATTGGGGGGGGTACAGTCGGGGCCCTGAAGAAGGAACCCTTTTCGTTGGGGAGGGGCTCCGTGTTCCTTGAGTGTGTCACAGCTTGCCTCTGGCTTTCCTTGTTTCCGACCGGAAATCGAAGGTTCACTTGTGGAAAAAAGGGGCCTCGTTCCTTATTTGGGGTTCCTCAGGTCAGCGCCCCGACTGTATCGTGGCGGGGGCCACGACATCTCTCGCCGCATCTCGTGGCCCCCCCTTCTTCTTCCAACTCGCCCCCCCTCGCCCCCTCCTCCGACCTGCGCGCGTGCCGCGGGCCTCTGCTCTGAGGGACGGTGGTGGAACCAGTGGGGACAGTGGTGGTGAGGACAGTGGTGCTGGGAACAACAGTGGGGGATGTGATGCGAGCGGTGGTAGGGACCGGGAGTCGTTTGCTGGCGGTGCGTGGGGGGGGGGTCGAGCCGGTAGTGACCCCCCTCCGGTTTTCGAGGGGGGGGGGGCCCCCCCGGTTTTTCCGGATCCAGAGGGAGGGGGGGGGGGGAGGGGTTCGAGCCGGTAGTGACCCCCCCGGTTTTCGAGGGGGGGAGGGGGGCGGGGGGGGGAGGGGTTAGGGGAGGGGGGGGTTTTGCCGGGAGGGGAGGGGGGGGGGGGGGGATTGGTTCCAGCAGGGAGGGGGGAATTTTCGGAGGGGGGGGGGGAGACCCCCGGGTTCCGGAGGAAAAGGTTGGCAATTTTCCACAGTAAAGCGGCGGTGGATCACGCTCTCTCCGACATGGGCGTCCCAGGCCCTGGAACGGTTTGGCTTCGGAAGGGGCTCGATGCTCCTCAGGTTCCTCCAGTGCTGTTCCTCTGAACGGTTTGGCTTCGGAGGGGGCTCGATGTTCCTCAGGTTCCAGTGCTGTTCCTCTTGCCCTCCCGGGGCACGGAGGCGCTTACAGGGCCCAGACGGGGCTGTCGTTCCTTGCTTCGCGTTCCTTCCTTCGGCGGCCCGACCGTAGTCCTGTCAGAGCTGCCGCGATCACCGTCGTGCCTGGCCCGCTCGGCGGCGACAGGCCGAGGCGCTGCGCTTCCACACCTCGAGGGGCATGTCGTCGGAGGGGCGGGCGCGCCGCGCCGGGAAGCGGCAGCGGGGGAGGGAGGAGCAGCGCAGGGGCCGGCAACAGGAGCGCAAGAGGAAGAAGCACACACGCCGGTCGTTGAGAGCACGGCAGGTTCGTGTCGTGCCTCGGGCCGAACGAAAGGGGGGCCACGATATTTCCCCAGATTTCATGGCGGGGGCCGCGATATTTCCCCAGATTTCATGGCGCCTCGTCTCATTTCACTACGTCCCTGGCCCCCCCCCCTGGGCCGCGCGAGTGTCGCCGGTCATGATTTGCACCCCCCCCCTCTTGGACACCCCCCTCTTGGCCGCTCCCGAAAGGGGGGGATTGGGAAAGGGGGGGGTACGAAATCTGCTGCATGCGGCTGGTTTCGGCCCCGCCGCCGGGCCCATTCCTCGATACATGGGCGCCTCCCGGCGCCGGGAGGCGCCGGGAAAATCAGCGACGTGAGCTGATTATCAAGCCCCCCCGTTGCTATCACCTTTCGCCTGGCCCGAGTGTCGACCGGCGGCGACCCCGCCAGCGGCGTGCAATTTTGAACGCCGCAGGCGACCCGCAATCGTTCGACGTGGAAGGAGTTGGGCTTTCCGGAAATGGCCGGTCGTTCAAGGTTGAGCGATCCCCGCGGCGTCAGAGACCAAAGCCGAAGTCGGCACGACACGAACCTGCCGTCTTGGAGACGTCTTCGGCCATCTTGGGGCCATCTTGGGCTGTCTTGGGTTCCTGCTGGAGCTCTCGTGGGGCGATTTGGGGGGCCTCTTTGGCCGTCTTGGAGCGTTGGGAAGCGGACGAGGCGAGACCGCCGAAATGCTTCAAAAACGAAGAAGCTGAATGAATTTGGCATCTTGGGGCCCTCTTGGGTTCTTGGGGCGTCTTGCAGGGCTCCTGGGCCGTCTGGAGGCCGTCTAACTAGGCGTCTCGGACCAAATTGATTGGCGATTCGGGGCCCTCGTGGACCGTCTTGGGGGCCTCTTTGGACACCCTTGGCCCGTCTTGGAGCTTTTTGGGGCCCCGGGGCCACCCGGGGAGGAGTCGTATCTGACCCAGGACCCTCCCCGGGACCCCCCTCCCGGCGGGGGAGGGAACACGGGAAGGGGCTTCTCTTCGATGTTCAAACGACGTTTCCGAATTTTGTTGAGGGGCGGTCGTGTCGGAGAACGAACGGATGACGGATAGAACGACTCGACCGACGACGTTTCCGAATTTTGCTGAGGGGCGATCGTTTCAGGAAACGAACAAGAGGACGAGTCGAACAGAAGAACCCTTCACACACGCCGACAGGGTCGGCGGATGTATGAATCTCTCACCACTCGTGAAGCGCACTCTCGCCCAGGACTTTCCTGCAACTCGTCGAGGAAGCGGGCTCTCGCCCGATGCTTCCTCGCGGCCTATCATACGTCGCCCGCAGAGTAAGGATGGGCATCCCTCCCAAGGGTACCCTTGCCTCCTTGCTTCCTGGGTCCATCCTCGGACGCTTTCGCTGGCCGCGCCCCGCTCGAAACGCTTCGAGATGGGCGTCCAAGGCCCCTTGCATCCTCATCGCGCCTCCTTACTCTACGGGTCGACTGCACGTCGCCCGCCCGCCCACGCGCTGGGGCCCGCCAGCCCCGCCGGTTGGGGCCCGTCTGGCCGCTCGTTTGGACTCCCGGCCCGCCCGCCCGCCTTCTGCCACCTCGCCCGGCCGGACCCCGCCAGCTGGGGCCCGACCCGCCCGTCGGGGTCCGTCAGCCTGCCTATTGGAATGTCTCTCGAGCCGGACGAAAGGTTGCGCAGGGACCGACCGTGCCAGCATTCTTGTAGTCCTACCACGACATGTTCTCAGAACCCACGGATGTTCTAAGAACAAAAAAAAAAGTGTTCTCAGAGCATAAACCCGATGCGATAAAACGAGGCAGTCCCAGCCAGAAATGTTCTGAGAACATTGCGTGGAAGCCACAAAAGGTTGTTAGAACATTGTTTGGTAGGGCTTTAGGCACGCCGGGACGCTTCGCCACTGCTTGAAAAGGGGGGGATTGGGAAAGGGGGGGGTACGAAATTTGCTGCATGCCGCTGGTTTCGGCCCCACCGAGGGGCCCAGTCCTCGATGCATGGCCGCCTCTGGCGCCAGGAGGCGCCGGGAAAGCCGGCTACGTGAGCTGGTTCTCACCCCCCCCTTTTGCTATCTCCCCCTTTCGCCCGACCCAAGTCTCGCTCGTCCGACCCGCCCGTCAAGATTCGTTCGTTCGCTCGCTGGGAAGCCCGCCTGCCCGTCGGGGTCCGCCCGCCCGACCCCATTGTCAAATCCTGTCTCGGCTGAAGCCGTTCCATAGATGAAGAGGAAGAGAGTCGAGAGTTTGAAGTACACAAGATTTTGTTGTTGAACTCTCACTAAACAATTATTATTGACCTCCCTCCAGTGACCATTGCGTGTTTCAATTGAAGTGTTTCCTCCGGGTCTCGCACCCTGTTCTTTTATCACGGAGAGTCACCCGGCTCAAACTGAATTGTTGCCCCCCGGGTTGCAACAACAACGGTTCCCGCTTGAGACTTCCTCACAATTTGGCCAGGACCCCCGCTCCCGCCTGAGACTTCCTTGCATGTTACTCAGGAATCGCGCTCTCGCTTGCGACTTCCTTACAGTGTATTCAGGAATCGCTCTGTCGGCACTCTGGAGTCGCGCTTTCGCTGGAGAGATGCTTGCAATATACTCAAGAATCGCGCTCTTGCCTTGGATCTCTGTGCAATTTACTCAAGCACCGCGCTCCCGACACTCAGGCTCCCAGGAGTCGCGCTCACGCTCAGGACACTCACAGTTTACTTGGGAATCGGGATCTCGCTGCCTTCGTGACCCCGTTGCAGCCCTTCGTTGCCCCCGCGCTGCCCCTCGTGGACCCATTGCAACCCTTCGTGGCCCCCTCGCTGCCCTTCGTGGCCCCGTTGCAGCCGTTCGTGGCCCCCTCGCCTCCCTTGGTGGACCCGTTGCAGCCTTCCATGACCCCCTAAATGTATGCCCTTCGTGGCCCCCGCTCTTTCGCGCCCGTCGTGGCCCCATATGCATGCGCTTCGTGGCCCCGCATTCGCCGTTCGTGACCCCCTCGCTGCCCTTCGTGGCCCCGTTGCTGCCCTCATTGCCCTCTGCGGCCCAATATACGTATGCCATTCGTGGTCCCGCTGTCGCCCTTTGTGGCCCCCTCGCTGTCCTACGTGACCCCGTTGCTACCCTCAGTGGCCCCGTCGTTGCCCTCTGTGGCATCATCTGCCCTTCGTGGCCCCCGCTCGTTTGCGCCCGGCGTGGCTCCATACGCATGCCCTTCGTGGCCCCGCTGCCGCCCTTCGTGGCCCCCTTCCTGCCCGTCGTGGCCCCGCTGTTTCGCTCGTCGTCTTCGTCGTCGTCGACATCGTCGTTTTCGTCGTCGTCGTCGTCGTCGTCGTGGTCGGTTCCCTGTCCGTCCCTCTTGGGTTTGGGTTGCCGCCGATCAGCGCTGCCGCTGGCCAGGCCGAGGGTCCGCGGCCGCCCCGCCGCTTGCCGGGGCCCGGCCTGCAGCGAATAATGATACACCGCCCAAGAGGGGTACGATCCAAGACGAAGAGGGCGGGTATCGAGGGTTTGGGGGATACACGTCGAATGACAATCGAGCAGATAAGAGCGAACATATTTAAATTGATTGCTGGTGTTGCTGCTGTTATTGTAGTAGGTGTTTGTTGGTGGTGGTGGTGGTGTTTTCTCTGTTGTTGCTGGTGTTGGTGTTGTAGTCGGTGTTGCTGTTGCTGTTGCTGGTGCTGGTGCTGGTGTTGGTGCTGGTGTTGTTGTTTTCGCCGCCCCTCGACCCACCCGCGACCCACGCGAGCAGCGACCACGATACTGTTTCGACCGAGTTGGCGCACGCGGCCGGCCGACCCACCCACCATGTCCGCGGTGGGCTGCTCTGTCCATTGGCCTGAGGGAACACCGGGGTGCATCTTCGACAACCAGGACGTCGGCACGCCCGATCAGAGTGCAGCCGTAGGTCGACACATCGTCCATATCTACGTTCTCTACAGCTGGAAGTTTCAAAGTCCTGGCTTGGAGTGTCCTGGTGTAGGGTGCCCCTCGGACCCGCGATCGCTGCTTCGACCAAATCGGCGCTTGCAGCGGGCCGACCCACCCAGATTGGCATCAACCACTAACGAAAGCAGCGCCTGCTGCATGCAGATCGGACTCTCTCTCATTCTTGCCCGCTTGTTGAGAGCTAGGAAGTTGTATGTCCCCTCGGTGCCACGAGACATGCACCCGTGTTGGAATGAAGTAGAAGCGGGCACTGCTTACAGTGGCAGGTGCGCAGAGAGCAAGTTGGAGAGGTAAGGGCAGCCGGCAATAGGGATGAAGGGAGAAGGAGCGTGAGAGAGAGAGAGAGAGTTTGACAAAGAGAGACGATCGAAAACATATGCACAAACGCACATGCGTGATCAAGAGGAGGGAGAAAGAGAGAGAGAGAGAGAGTGGGGAGGCATTGGTTAGATTGATTGCCACATACACATGGTACCAAGTGTTGAGTGGATGATGAAGGCGCAGACCTGGCTCCAACGGCGAAGCTGTGATGCAGCATAATGAGAGGTCTTGGTTACTCTGCGAGGTACCATTCTCGTCCGTACTTTTCTCGCCCCCTGCCTTGTTGCGTCCCTTCCTCGTTCGGAAACCTAAGTATGTTGTTTGTCTCTGTACTGTTCTCGTTTCGGTCGTCGCTGCTGCTGGTTCTCTTTTGTCGTCGCTCTCCGCCTCCTTGCTACCCCCTTTCCCCTCAGTTTGATTGCCCATTCGTCTCCGCGAAGATTCCCGCGTTCATAGCAAGGCTGTGCCACCAGAGACGAGAGACAAAGACCTCTACAGCGCCTGTAGCCAAACATTGAACTGAAGTCTTGCCGAGGTGTTGCCTATCCGCTCCTCCAGCCGTTGTGGAAACCCTTGGGGGAACACTTGGAAGGAAGAGACAGGAGGCGGAGGAGGAGGAGGAGGAGGAGGAGATGGAGGAGAAGGAAGGGGACGAGGAAGAGGAGGCCTCTTGGGGTCTTCCTGGGGACCTTGGGGGGCTATGATAGCTTCTGGGGGGCTTCCTGGGGGCCTTTAAGCGCCTTCGGAGTCCGTCGTTGGTGCCTCATTGTACCATTGTCAGGGCAGTCGTGGAGGTCGCTGGTGCCGTCTGGAGCCCTCCCGGGGCACCCCAAGAGGGCCCCGAGAGGGAAACGGCATTGATTGCCCGCAGGTTGTTGTTTGATGTTCGGAGTCTCGTTGCCTAGACCCATCGACCTTTCAAGACAGTCCAGGAGGGCCCAACGTCTATCCAAGATTGCCTCAGAGATTCCCCGGAGGCCCGCGAGCTTTCCCTCCGTAGCTGTCTTCCCGAGGTCAAAGGCGCCCAAGACGGGCCCCCCAGACTTAAGTCGGGCTTGTCCCTCTACAGGGGGAATCTTCAAAAATGGTAAAAAATTGTCTGGGAGCGATTTGTTTAGCATGTTTTAGCACGTTTGGTGCATCTTTGGGGTATTGTATATGTTTCGTCCAAAATCCCCCTGCAGGGGGACAGGCCCGACTTAACCCCAGACGATCCCGAAGGCCTCGGACACGGGGAGGGGAGCGTCCCAGGACGGCCCAAGATGGCTGCAGGCTGGGGACCTCCAAGACGCCGCAGGGCGCTCCCAGAGGGCTCCCAAGAGGTCCCGAGAGGGAAGAACGATAGATGATTGTTATTAGGCTGCCAAAAAAACGCTTGTCACTTTTTGTGTTCGAGCTCCTGATTTGCCACGACGGACCAAAAGGGCCCAGTGTTGCTCCGAGATCTCCCCAGAGGCCTCCTAGCGGCCCCCCGAACAACCCAAGACTGGCCCGAGTCGGCCCAAGAGGGTTTCCAAGGGCTCCCGAGGCAGCCAAGAAGGCGATGCGAGGAGACAAAAGGCAAGCCTGGCACCGACATCTCGAGCCCCGCCTCCGATGGACCCCGGGAGCCTCCCATGGGCTCAGAACAAAACGGGGAGCCAAAGGGATCCCCCTGAGCCGTCGACGCAGACCTGCAAGACGCCCCCAGTGCTTGGTACCGCTCGGACGCGTGCACTTTTTTCTCGGTGGGGATTATTCAGGAGCAGCCTGGATCATCCTGCGGACAAAAAACACGCACGAAGCCGACAAAAAGCACAGGGAGTGGACGCCCGAGCGACGGGGAGGGGGGACTACTCCAGTTGCATCGCCCACTATGCCGTGCTGTTTCCTGTGGGCATTCGGACTGCAGCCTCTAGGACTGCATCCTCCTCCCGCTCCTCCACCTCCTCCCCATCCTCCCCCCTCCCCCATCCTGCCCCTTCTCCTCGTCCTCCTCCCTCCTCTCCTGCTCCTCCTCCTCCTCCTCCTCCTGCCCTTTTTCTCCTCCTCCAACCTCACCTCCTTTTCTCCTCATCCCCCCTCCCCTCCCCTCCTCCTCCCTTTTCCTCCTCCTCCTCCTCCTCCCCTCTCCCCCTCCCTTCCCCCTTCTGCCAGTACTCAGTCCGAACATAACGCTGAGGCACCTCGAGGCACCGCACGAGGGCCCGCCTCTCAGGGCCCCCCCAAGCCCCTCTGGCGCGGGGGGCCGCCGGCAGCAGAACGGCTCGGAGGGACGCCCTGGTCCCGGGGGGCCCTCCGAGGCCCAGGGCCTTGTTGCCCCAGGAGCGCGCGAGGCGCACGAAGAGGCGGAGGCGGGAGGAGGAGGAGGAGGGGGAGGAGGAGGAGGAGGAGAACAAGGAGGAGGAGGAGGAGGAGGAGGGGAGGAATGGACCGTGATCGTAGAAATGGTGGCGGTAAGGGTGACTGCCGTGGATATATATATATATATATATATATATATATATATATATATATATATATATATACTAGAACCACGCGCGCGCTTCGCGCGCGCTTAGGTTCTGTCGAGTCACAGACCCAGGAATCGTTGTGAGAAGAAATTGGTGACGCGAAGCGTCGTGGGGGCGTCCTTGGACGTCTGGGGTCTCCTGGGGCCTCTTGAGGGGCCTCCTGGGGGCCTCCTGGCGGCCTCTTGGGGCGGAAGGCTCGAGCTTGCGGTTCGTGGTCCCCCTCTGGGCCCCCTCTTGGGCCCGTCTTGGGGCCCTCTTGGGCCATCTTGGGCGCCTCTTGGGCCGTCTTGGGGCCCTCTTGGGCTGTCCTGGGGCCCTCTTGGAAGCTTCTTGGGCCGTCTTGGGGCGGTCTTGGGCGCCTCTTGGGCCGTCCTGTAACGTCGGAAAGCCCAAAAGGCGACTTTGTTGAAAATGTACGTTTTACGAAGGGAATGGGCCAATTTTTGCGTCTAGGGGCCCTCTTGGGACGCATGTTGGAGGCTTCTTGGGGCCTCTTGGGGGCGTCCTTGGACGTCTGGGGTCTCCTGGGGCCTCTTGAGGGGCCTCCTGGGGGCCTCCTGGCGGCCTCTTGGGGCGGAAGGCTCGAGCTTGCGGTTCGTGGTCCCCCTCTGGGCCCCCTCTTGGGCCCGTCTTGGGGCCCTCTTGGGCCATCTTGGGCGCCTCTTGGGCCGTCTTGGGGCCCTCTTGGGCTGTCCTGGGGCCCTCTTGGAAGCTTCTTGGGCCGTCTTGGGGCGGTCTTGGGCGCCTCTTGGGCCGTCCTGTAACGTCGGAAAGCCCAAAAGACAACTTTGTTGAAAATGTACGTTTTACGAAGGGAATGGGCCAATTTTTGCGTCTAGGGGCCCTCTTGGGACGCATGTTGGAGGCTTCTTGGGGCCTCTTGGGGGCGTCCTTGGACGTCTGGGGTCTCCTGGGGCCTCTTGAGGGGCCTCCTGGGGGCCTCCTGGCGGCCTCTTGGGGCGGAAGGCTCGAGCTTGCGGTTCGTGGTCCCCCTCTGGGCCCCCTCTTGGGCCCGTCTTGGGGCCCTCTTGGGCCATCTTGGGCGCCTCTTGGGCCGTCTTGGGGCCCTCTTGGGCTGTCCTGGGGCCCTCTGGGAAGCTTCTTGGGCCGTCTTGGGGCGGTCTTGGGCGCCTCTTGGGCCGTCCTGTAACGTCGGAAAGCCCAAAAGACAACTTGTTGAAAATGTACGTTTTACGAAGGGAATGGGCCAATTTTTGCGTCTAGGGGCCCTCTTGGGACGCATGTTGGAGGCTTCTTGGGGCCTCTTGGGGGCGTCCTTGGACGTCTGGGGTCTCCTGGGGCCTCTTGAGGGGCCTCCTGGGGGCTCCTGGCGGCCTCTTGGGGCGGAAGGCTCGAGCTTGCGGTTCGTGGTCCCCCTCTGGGCCCCCTCTTGGGCCCGTCTTGGGGCCCTCTTGGGCCATCTTGGGCGCCTCTTGGGCCGTCTTGGGGCCCTCTTGGGCTGTCCTGGGGCCCTCTTGGAAGCTTCTTGGGCCGTCTTGGGGCGGTCTTGGGCGCCTCTTGGGCCGTCCTGTAACGTCGGAAAGCCCAAAAGACAACTTTGTTGAAAATGTACGTTTTACGAAGGGAATGGGCCAATTTTTTGCGTCTAGGGGCCCTCTTGGGACGCATGTTGGAGGCTTCTTGGGGCCTCTTGGGGGCGTCCTTGGACGTCTGGAGGCCATCTTCAGCATCTCGGAGCCCTCTTGGAGGCCTCTTGGAAGTTTCTTGGGCCGTCTTGGGCGCTTCTTGGGCCGTCTTGTCTGACTGGGGAGGCTTCCGGCAAGCCCCGACGAGCCTCCGGGCCCCCCGGGGCGCACATTTGTGGTCGGAGTCCCGGCCCCGGGCCACCAGACCCGGTGCGCCGTTATATATATATATATATATATATATATATGTGTATATATATATATATATATATTATTGTGTGTATGTGTATATGTAGACATACGTGTGTATGTGTGCCAACCTCCCATGTATGTACAGGTGCTTGGTATGATGCAAACGAGAAGAAGAGAGATAAACAACAACAAAAAGAGAAAGAGAGAGAGAGAGAGACAGGGATAACATACAAAAGCATAGAGAGAGAAACATAGAGACAAAGACAGACGGACAGACAGACGGACGGACAGACAGGCAGACAGACAGACAGACAGAGACAGACAGACAGACAGACATACAGACAGACAGGCAGGCAGGCAGACGGACGGACAGACAGACACACACACAGACACATACACACACACACATACGCAGTCACACACACACACATTCACTTACACACACTCACTTACACACACTCACACACACACACACACACACACGCGCGCGCGCGAGGGGGAAGAGAGAGAGGGACCATCCCAGCCTCCCGCGAGACGACGAAGGGGAGGCGGCAGCGCCGCCAACCACGTCGTCTGACACGAGCCGAGGAGGGCGCCTCCTTCCCGTCATGCTGGTCTCCCTCCCTCCCTCCGTCCTGCCCATGCCCTGCCTCTGCGGCTTCCTCGCTCGTCCTTGCTCCCTCTCCTGCCCCCCCCCCCCCGCCCCAGAATCGCCCTGGCTCAGGCCGGCCGCTCCGCGGGCTCCTCCGCCGCGCCGCCCTGATGCAGTGCTCGTCGAGAGATGCCCGCTCGGCACCGGCGCTGGAGGGCTCTCGGGGGACCGCCTTGGTACTCCGGATTCCACAACAAAGTGGGGGGGGGGTCACATTTGGGGGGGGATCTGATTTGAGCTGTCTTGGAGGGTTCGGGGGGGTCTGGGCAAAGGGCTGCCCTTTCATGGATGGTCTGAGGGGGTCTAAAACTTCTCGTCTGGGAGGGTCCAGACCCCCTCCCTTTTATTACGAAATCTGGAGTAACCCAGGCCGCGGCTGGGCTCGCCGCTGGCGGGCCGCGCGGGGCCGCGCGGCTCCTGCGGGCGGCGGAGGGCCTCCTCCACTCGGCCAGGGCACCTCCTCGCGGCCCCCTGCCGCGATCCGCCGCGCCCGCGGATGCGGCGAAGCCCCCCGCGGGCCCCGCCGATGCGCCGTCCCCGCTCGGCCGAGGCGGAGTGCGGCGGCGTCGCGCGCGCCATGCGGGCGGCTTTGGCTCGGGCAAGGGCGAGTTCAAGGGCGGCGCGGGCCAGGCCCACCGCGGGGCGCGGGATCACCATGGGCGGTTTCCTGGGGAAGGACAAGGCTGCGCGTGGCAGTCGCGCTGCTGAGTGTGGCCATGGAGCTCCCTTGGGTCGTGCTTTTGCACGTACCCTTTGGGACGCACGGAGGAAGGAGTCGAGGCGTGCTGGTCCCTTGGGTCGTGCTCCGGCACGTACCCTCAGCGTCGGCGTCGAAGCCGTCGCGGCGCGCTCCGCCGGCATGCTGGGCTAGGAACCCCCTGTCGCGCGCACGTCTTGGGGCCCCTAGCGGCGTTTCTGGCGCCAAGGAGGCGGGCCCAGTGCCGATCAAGGAGGAGCATCCTTGATCATTCGGCGAAAAAACACAGGGAATGGACGTCCGAGCGATGCCCAGGTGGGGGTTTGCTGGGGAAGGACCGGGCTGCGCGTGGCGGTCGCGCTGCCGACGGTGGCCATGGAGCCCCGCGTCGGCGTCGAGGCCGTCGCGGCGCGCGCCGTCGGCATGCTGGGCCAGAAGCCCATTGTTCGGGGGTGGACAGACCTCCTACCCTGACACGTCGATTAGCGAATTGGCCGTTTTCGGTTCGCGAGAGGGCGTCACGGCCGTCATTTGTGCGGGTCCACGTCCGTCGGTTTCGGTCCCAGGCCGTTTTCACACAGGGGAGGTTTACTAAAGGAAGGTTTGTACAACGCCGAAAAGTCGCGCGCACGTCTGAGGGCCCTTAGCGTCGCTTCTGGCGCCAGGGAGGCGGGCCCGGTGCCGATCCCACAAAATCCGCGCGGAGTTCCGAAGTCGATTGCCTATTCCGTCGTTTCTCTTGCTGTTTCCGTGCACGATGGCACGCGCTGACCTGAAGTGTACATCTGGCACCGGCGCGTCCGTTTGGTCGACGTGCTTGACGCAGAGGCAGCACGGTTCCAGCACATGGGCGGCAGTGCAGTGGCAGCCTCCTCTTATATCCCGCGACACAGACCGCCCATCATTCTGGATTAATGGATGAACGGTTAACCACGGTTTGTCGCTCACGCGTGCGAGGTTCCGAGCGCGAGCGTGCATTATTGTTAGGAGTATACCCGTACGTATGGTTGGCGCGACGCGTGGGACCGCGTCTATCGCCGCAGGCCCCCAACAATGGTGTTGCACGCACATCAGCGCAGCGACGCTACGGGCTTCTACGTTTCAGAGCTTGATTGCTTATAAAGCGTATGATTAGCGCTGATGCGACAAGTGCGATGGCGAAGATTGGCGGTTTTCATCCCGCTGTCGGCCAATGCGTTGTTAGCCGTTGTGGGGATCCGTCGGGGTTCAGTTTGCAGTTTGGTTCATACGGACATACGCGCGTGGTCGATCAAACTGTACACAGTTCGCCTACAATGCCGCCCGCCGTTCTTGGTCCCAGCCCCACCTGGCTTCCTCCATCCATCCCTCATGCCTCTTGCGCCACCCCTCCCTCGCATCCACTTCGCTCTGTCCCCCCCCCTCCCCCCGGCGTCCTCCACAATGGCTCTTGCCCCAGCGCCCCTTGCCCTGCCTCCCTCGCTACCTCCCTCCACCACTATCTTTCCCGTTCTCCATCGCTATCCCTTCCCTTTGCCCCGCCCCTCCTGCCCCCCCTCCCCCACCGCACCGGCCCCATCGCTCCCGCCTCCTTCCCGTGCTGGCCCAGCCGCACTGAAATTCGAGCACGCTCGTGGCGAAGCCGCGTGTCGTACCATCCATCGCGCGGGCGGCCACGCGGGGCAGTGCACGTGGAGGATCAGGAGGAGGAGGAGGAGGAGGACGAGGAGGAGGAGGAGGAGGAGGAGGAGGAGGAGGAGGAGGAGGGGGAGGACGGGGAGGAGGGGGGGAGGGTGAAAAGGAGGAGGAGGAGGAGGAGGAGGAGGTGGAGGACCGAGGATTGCAGGAAAGCGGCCGAAGGGGGCCGCGAGTGGCCCTCGCACTGCCACCGCGGGCCCGCGAAGGGCGCACGCCTCCTTCTTCCCCCTGTTTCCTCTTGGCGTCGTGCGGACGTGTGTTTGCTCCGCTTGGTTTTTCGCACGGAGCAGCAGACGTACAGTCGGGGCGTTGACCTAAGGAACCCTAAACAAGGAACGAGGCCCCTTTTTTCCCATCAGTGAAAGTTCGATGTCCCGTCGAAAACCTAAGGAAAACCCAAGGCAAGCTGTGAAACACTTAAGGAACACGGAGCCCCTCCCCAACGAACAGGGTTCCTTCCCCAGTGCCCTGGCTGCACGAGATCGAGCGGAACACGGGGAATGGCCTTCGAGCGGTGGCTCGGGGGCGGACAGAACCCCGGACAGTGACACGTCGATGAGTGGGTTGTCCGTTTCCGGTCCTCGGGATGGCGCCGTGGCCGCTATCTTCCAGGCTTTTGCGCCCGCCAGTTTTGGGCCTCAGGTCGTTTTCACTAAACCACGTTTTACAAAAGGGGGGTCTGTCCATCCCCGATCTCTCCTCCTCGGGCGAAGCCAGGACCGAAATGTTCTTAGAACATTTCTGTTTTAGATTTTCTTGTTTAACACATCGGGTTTATGTTCTAAGAACATTGTTTTGTTATTAGAACATGTGTGTTCTTAGAACATTTCGTGGTATGACTATAGGAATGCCGGGACGGTCGGTCCCTGTTCAACCCATGCCCCTTCGGGGAGGTGGTCGGTCCATCCCCGAAAGTGGCGAGCAGCGCCCCGCCCTCCGCGTCGGGCCTCCCCGCCCTCCGCCGCGCCATCCCCCCCCCCCTTCCCGCTGCCAGGAGCGCACCTGGCGGCCGCGGCGGCGCTGCCGCCGCCCCCGACGGGGGGGCCCGTCACGACGGCCCCCCCCCCGCGCCCTTGCTGCGCGCCCTCCTCCGCCTGCCTCGCGCGCGCGGCACGGCCACTCTCACGCTCCTCCTCCTCCTCCTCCTCCTCCTCCTCCTCCTCCTCCTCCTCCTCCCCTTGTCCTCCTCCTCCTCCCTCCTCCTCCTCCTCCTCCTCCTCCTCCTCCTCCTCCTCCTCCTCCTCCTCCTCCCCCTCCTCCCCCTCCTCCTCCTCCTCCTCCTCTCCTCCTGCTCCTCCTCCTGCTCCTCCTCCTGCTCCTCCTCCTTTCCTCCTCCTCCTCCTCCTCCTCCTCCCTCCTCCTCCTCCTCCTCCTCCTCCTCCTCCTCCCCCTCCTCCCCCTCCTCCTCCTCTTCTTCTGCTCCCCCTCCTCACTCTCCTCCTCCCTCCTCCTTCCCTCCTCCTCCTCCCCCTCCTCCCCCTTCCTCCTCCTCCTCCTCCTCCTCCTCCTCCCCCCTCCTCCTCCTCTCCTCCTCCCTCCTCCTCCTCTCCTCCTCCTCATCTCATCCTCATCTCCCCCCTCCTCCCCCTCCTCCCCCTCCTCTTCTCCTCCTCCCCCTCCTCACTCTCCTCCTCCTTCTCCTTCTCCTCCTCCTCCTCCTCCTCACTCCTGGCCGGTCACTCTCACTCGCCTGGCGGCGGCGGTCATGCCATGAGCGCGAGCACGAGTCGTGCACTCGCGTGTCTTCTTTACGTTTTGACTTGCTCGACATGTGCGAAATACGAAATGGAAGGCGACCACAGACGTCGATCAATGCACGGAGACTTACCTCCGCCGGAGTGACCTCTGGCGCGGGGCCCTCGGGGTCCCCCCCCCCGCCCCGGGTCGTGGGGCGCGGCGCGCTGGCCTGCTGCGTGCGCGCTGGGCTCTGGCCCCCCCTCTGCGTGCCCCCCAGCGCTCGCGCACCGAAGGTCGCTCTTCCCGAGGTTCGCGCCTGCGCGTATAGGGGAAAGGCAGATCAGTGTGCGCTGTCGCACTCTGTTCTTGCTGTTTCTCCCTGGCCTTGCCAGGGGCGGCCTTGCACTGCGTCCTGCCCCCAGTGCTCGAATCATGCGGCAGTGGAGCCTGAGCTCAAAAAAAAGCGTGTATAGGGGATCAAAAAGTGACATGAGCATAAGAACTCGGAGGTCCGCGCGGATTTATCGGATCGGCGCTGGGGCCCCCCGGCGGCGCCTCCAGCGCCAGCCCTGGCGCGCTCCGCGCGCCAGGGAGGGGGGTCCAGCGCCGATCCGAGACATCCGCGCGGACCTCCGAATGTTTTTATGTTTTATGCCACTTTTCGTTCCCCTCATGTAGCCGACGGCCCGACGCACATTCCGGTTCGATCCGTGGTCCCGCATCGATGCTGAATGACCTTGCACATGGAGCACCCAAGCCTCCAGCGGAACGGAACGAGAAATTCTGCTGTGTTCGGCCTCTGTGGGGCCCTCGCCGCGCCCCCGGGGGCGTCAAAAGGAGACGACCCGGGATGGAAAACCGGCCCCGGGGGCAGGGTCTGAGACAGTGTTGCGGCGGCCTACGGGGCCTCTTTGACCGTCTTGGAGCGTCAGAAGCTCGAGAAGACGACAACCCCAAAAGTAATGAAGAACAGAAGGGAAGCCATTGAAGTTCGCCTGTCGGGACCCTCTTGGGAAGGCTCTTGAGGCGTCTCGACGGCGTTTTGGGGGCGTCTTGGCGCCATCCGAAGCGTCTTGGGCCAATCGTTCCGCGACTCGGGCCACGGACGGCGGATCTGGAAGCTCTGGAGTCTCCAGGGGTGCACCCGCGCGCCCGGAGACTCCCCCACCCTCACACGAGATCTTGGACCCCGGGGGAGGGGGAGGAGAAGGACGAGGACGAGGAGGGAGAGGAGGAGGAGGAGGAGGAGCAGGAGCAGGAGGAGGAGGAGGGCGGAGGAGGAGGAGGGCGGAGGAGGAGGAGGAGGAGGAGGAGGAGGAGGAGGACGAGGAGAAGGAGGACGAGGAGATGGGCGGGGGGACAGCCACTCCTCCTGCACGCCTCCTCGCCCCACGCCAGCGGGGCTCGGCAGGCGTGCTCGCTGCTGTTCAGATCCTCGCGCGGCCGAGCCGATTCGACTCCGACTCCGTGCCCGTGCGGCCCGATCCGTCGCGCGGCTCGAGCTGATCCGATGTCCTTCTCGATCTTGGCATCGCTCGGATCGGGGGTGGACAGACCTCCCAACAGTGACACGTCGATTCGTGAATTGTCCGTTTTCGGTTCTCGAGAGGGCGCCGTGGACGTTATTTTCCAGGCTTGCGCCCGCCAGGTTTGGGCCTCAGGTCGTTTTCACTTAACCACGTTTTACTACAGGGGGGTCTGTCCATCCCCGATCGGACGTGTGCATGTTTCCTTGGGCGAGGACCATCGGCGAGCATCCTTGATCATTTGGCGAAAAAACCACGCACGAAACCGAGAAAACACAGGGAATGGACGTCCGAGCGATGGCCAGCGATGCCCGGCGGTCGTCGCAGTCAGGGGTTTCTGGACGCCCCAGTCCCGATCTGCTTTGGGCGCCTTCTTGCTTGGAGAGCGTCGAGCGGAGTGCCCTCCTCCCTCCTCGTCCGCGGGCGGGCCGAAGCCCGATCTGTTTCCAACGCCTTCTCGCTTCGAGTTCCTGCCCACCTCCTCCGAGCGACGAGCACCGCCTGACCTCCTGCCCCTGCGCCATCTCCTGGCCAGGACGTGTGCATTTTTTTTCTCGGCGAGGACCTTCGAGGAGCATCCTCGACCCTCTGGCGAAAAAGCCACGCACGAAACCAGAAAAAACACAGGGCAGACCCCTGCCAACCCTGCCCGAGGCACGCGCGCGGGAGAAGCAGGCGCAATGAAAGAGGGGGAAAAAACACCTCGACCATCTGGCGAAAAAACACGCAAAAAAACACAAAAAAACAGGGAATGGACGTCCGAGCGATGGCCAGCACACTGACGCCCTTGCCGCCGCGCTGCGCCGCGCCGGCCGCAGGCCCGGAATGCCGGCGCCCCCCCCGGGCCTTCCTGGGCGGACGCGGCGAGCCCGGGGCGGGGGGCGGCGCGCTGGGGGTCCAGCGCGGGAGGAGGTCTTCGGGGGCGGCAAAGAGGGGAGTGATGACTAGGGGGGGGGGGGGATATCATGGCGGGGGCCATGTTATTTCCCCAGATTTCATGGCGCCTCTTCTTGTTTCAATGCGTTCCCTGGCCCCCCCGCTGGGCCGCGCACATGCCGCCGGTCATGATTTGCACCCCCCGCCCTCTCTTGGACACGCCCCTCTTGGCCGCTCCCGACCAGCGCAGGAGGAGGTCTGAGGCGACGATGGCCTCGAGATCTCGGCGGCGGGAGGAGGGGGCGCGGGGGGAGGGGGGGGCAGGCCGGAGAACGGCAGCGCAGGCGGCGGCGGGGCCGGGGGGGAGGGAGGAAGAGGGAGGTGCAGGAAGGAGCGGGCCGAGGCAGAGAGAAGGGAGGATCGGGGGAACGTAAGACTCGGGTAAGCTGGAACTCGGAATTGCCGACGTTTTTTGACGAGCGCGTCCTGGATTTTGACGGTCCAGTTTTTCGTGGGATGTCTCCAGTGGGAGCTCGCGTCAAATTTCGGATTGCGTCTCGTCATTTTTATGATGGACCCCGTCAGGCCAACCCGCGTCCCCCGTACCCGAGTCTTACGTCTCCCCGAGAGGAGGAGGCGGATTCCCTTCGGGGAGCATATCCGTTGAAATTGGGACGATACCCAGAAGATTAGCATGGCCCCTGCGCAAGGATGACACGCACAAATCGAGAAGTGTATACGATGGTATAAAGAGGAGAGGGGGAGGAGGACAGCATCGACGACGAGAGGGGGACGCAGTCGAGGGTCTCTCTTCTCGGCCCTCTCCCCGTTCTCGCCCCAGGTGCAGACCTTTTCACGCCGGGCTGTGCCGCCTTGCTTCGGCCCATGAGAGATGTGGTCCAGGGCTGTGGAAGTCGATTAATGGAGGGGAAGCATGCTGCCAAATAATTCCCAGATGTCTAAAACATGTGTCAAACATGTTTTAAAGTTGTAAGAACATGATTGAAAAGTTTAGAACATCTTTTACAAATGTTAAACACATGTTGAATTCAATGATAGGGTTGTGAGAGTGTCCATTGTCATGGCATCCACAATTCTAGGGCTCCAGCCGTGAGTTTTCCCCGCAGGAGGAGGAGATGAACAGTCACAGATCCCCAAGGATCCGATTCCTCAGCCCCAGCGTTTGTCTTCGAGCTCGGCCTCCAGGGGCCGCTTTCGGACCCTGGGCCATCCACAATGGATCCAGGAGGCCGCGGGTTCAACAAGATCAGGTCGGCGGATGTTCGGGCCGGACGACAGGGGGGGATTGGGAAAGGGGGGGGGTACGAAATGTGCTGCATGCAGCTGGCTTCGGCCCCGCCGCCGGGCCCCTTCCTCGATACGTGGGCGCCGGGAGGCGCCGGAAAAATCAGCTATACGTGAGCTGATTCTCAAGCCCCCCCTTTGCTATCCCCCCCTTTCGCCCGGCCCGAGATATCAGGGGCAGGTTCGTTTCCTGTCCATTCGGCGAGGACCGCGCCGCGGGCGTGCGGAGTCCGAGCGCCGTCGGCAGTCATTCCTGTCCAGCGCCGAACGATCTGCGCTTTCGGAGAGCCCCGATCGTTCAAGGATGAAGGATCCACGCGGTGTCAGAAACCAGCGCACAAGTCGTCCACGCGGTGTCAGAAACCAGCGCACGTCAGAGGAGGGATATCCTCCCCCGCAGGGTCCCCGATTTGATTCCCGGCCCGATCCGACGCACGTTCCGACCCGATCCGAGTTCCCGATTCGATGATTATTGATCACGCCCTCTCTAAGACCGCACTTCTTCGTCGCGCTTCTGCCTCTGATGGCCCCCCCAAGGCCGGAGAGCGCTATTTCTCGACGGTTGGAAGTCTGGCAGTGGGTTGGCCCCCCCGTCTCACTCCTCCCCGACCACCGCCTCTGTGTTCCAGCCCTCGGCTGCCCAAGCGGAGGGATGGTTGAAGATGGATCGGGTGAGGAGGGAGCCAACTGGGATGTCTGGGAGACATTTGCCGCAACTGAGGAACATCCTGGAGGCCTGTCGCGGCGCCGAATAGTAATTGCATATCATCGAGTCCACACGTCCGCTGCGTCAGATATGGGACGGCGTTCGCTGGGCGATGTTCCGACGTAAATCCGACGCATTCCGACGCGAGGTCAACGGAAATCCAAAGCAAATTGGGTCTCAAGTTGCCGCACAATGCCTCCAGGATGTTCCTCATAAACTTGCAGGAGGACCCTGGAGGTCCCCAGATGGCCGACGATGGATTAAGTGAGGAGGGAGCCACGTCTGGGAGACACTTGCTGGAGGACCCTGGATCGAAGAAGCCAAAATTGCAGAAAGATTCACTTTCGGAGGTCCGCGCTGATTTCTTGGATCGGCGCTGGACCCCCCACACCTGGCGCGCGGAGCGCGCCAGGGGCGGCGCCGGAGGCGCCGCCAGGGGGCTCCGGCGCAGATCGGAAAAACCCGCGCGCACTTGCGAAAGTTCATGTTTATTCCCAACCATCCTGTGGTGTTGGGTCCTCGTGCTGAAGAGACAGCGACCCGCGTCCCTCCCTCCCTCCCTCACGCCTCCTCCTCCTCCTCCTCCTCCTCCTCCTCCTCCTCCTGCTCCTCCTCCTCCTCCTCCTCCTCCTCCTCCTCCTCCTCCTCCTCCTCCTCCTCCTCTGGAGGTCCCCAGAGGCTCCTGGAGGCCCCGCCCCCTCTGGCAAGCGTCGGTGAGCGGCGCGCGGGCTCGGCGCCGCCGCGCGTGGGCCTGGCCGCAGCGAAACCGCGCCCGCATTCGAGCGGGCTGCGCGACGGGCGCGGGTTTTGCACGCCCTCTGCGCTAAGGCCCTGCGCCGGCTAGCCACGCATCGGCGGCGAGCCCAGGAGAGAATGCAGGTCGGCGAAGAAGATCTAAAAAGTGCTACGACATTCAGGCATGCGCGCGCGAAGACGCGCCTATGTGGTCGTTGTTTCATATTTCAGTTGCCAGGGATTCTTGAACTTTGGTTACTGTTGATACACGCCTGGACGGAATGGTATGAGTAGATACTGAAAATGAGCGGTGGGGCAGAAACATACGTAAGTGGCAGTGTCGCAAATGGATACCGCTAAATTTGTGTTCGGGAGGGGGGGGGCGTGTCTCTTTCTAAAATATGGAGACCCTGCTTAGTGCAATATGTATATACATATATGTAAATATTGTGGTGCAGTCTATGTGAGTGGCGGCGATTCGGCGACGGGGCGGCGACGGCGGTAACACAGACGCCAGACAGACAACCAGGCCCAGACGACGGGCGGCGACGGCCGCAACATAGCCGCCAGACCGCCGCCCAGGCGCAGTTCCTTACAAGAGAAATATGAAGCTCTAAGGTCGTCGCGGCATACCTAGAGGAATACCCTGCTCAATGAGGAGGAGGAGGAGGAGGAGGAGGAGGAGGATACTCAGACACCGTGCGGATTCATGTTTCTTCCGTCCCGCCGATTGTCCCCCCCCAAAAGGAAAAACAATCGGCCTCCGTGGGCCACGTCATTGGGCCCCAGGGCCATCATGGCATGATCCAGGATGAAAAACCGTCCCGTGGGAGAGGGTCGAGAATGGTCGAGAGTGTTGGGCACAGTGATGATCGAAACCAACACCAAACAAAAACAAAAAACGCGAGGTCGGAGGAGGAGAAGAGGAAATATACATAGTACCGTTCGGAAGAAAAAGAGGAGAAAAAGAAGAAGGAGGAGGAGGAGGAGGAGGAGCACCAATCTTCGCTTATATGTACTGGACCTTGCCCTCTCATCTGCTTCCTTCCCCCCTCCCCTCCCCCTCTGCCGACCCTTCCCCCTGCCCGCTCATTGTTGATTCTCTCTCTCTCTCTCTCTCTCCGTGTGTGTCTTTCCCTATCTGTCTTTTTCGCGATTTCAACATGTGAAAGATGCGATCCTCTCTCCCCTGACTCTGTCCGGGAGATGCTCCGCCCTCTCCGCATATTGTTCTTGTTACACCGGATTGGACAAGATGGTTTGTTCACGGTGGTTTCCAATCCGATTGGTGCCGGTGTTTCAAAATGGTGTTCGCGCGTGGGCGGTGCCCACATCTTAGGATCGAAAATTGGTTCCCGTCGTTCAGAAGGGTGCTCTCACCCCTGCGCGGGGCACTTCTCTGGCTCCGAGTCCTCTCTCATCCTCGTCGCCCCCCTCTTTGTCCCCACTTCCACCTTCCCTGGTCCTCCGCCTTCCCGTGGTACTTCCATTCCATTTCCCGCTGCTGCTTTTCGTCCTCGGACTCCTCCATTTTCCTGTTCCTCCTGCTCAGTTCCCCCATTCCCGATTGGGCACAGCACGATGGGCTCCTTTTGTTGGA